TCTATTATTACTGCTGTTGTATTGAGGCCCAAACACAACACTGCTTTAGAGAATGTTGACTCATCATTAGTGGAAATTCAATATATCCCTTTATCTATATTCATTCAAATGTTTTCTCAGTCCCTATAAAAGGCTAAGCAGAATGCTAGGAATAAAGCAATGATTAACATACACAGGCCTTGGTCTCTAAGAGTTTTTTTAAAGAGGAAATACAGGTATTTAAACAAATCAATTTATGGACACATGCAAAACAATGTGATTACCTGAAATAGAAGCCCAAGGGCTCATAGGAAAACACATAATAAAGCAACAGTGCAGCATGATCAGTAAATAAAGAAAAAATATTTAACTGAGTACTAAAATGTTCTCTGAAAACAGACTTGTGAAGTCATGGACTCTAAATTTAAGGGACTCTTTTTTTTAAAGATTTATTTATTTATGCATACAGAACCGGCGTACAGACCAGAGGTGCAGGGGTGGTAAGAGGCTTCACCAGAGACAGAGTGGGGAGTAGAACAGGAAAATCTAAGAAGTACACTACTGAGGGAGCAGCAGGTGGGTCAGGAGAGGTCTGCCGCACCATGTGGGTCACCTCCAGGGTGGGATCGAACTCACGTTGAAGTAGCTTTAGCTTTTCAGTGATGTGCTTTAACTCACTGCGCCACTAGGGACGGCAATTTAAGGGATTCTTAACAGAGATCATGGATGGGTTTCAGAAGCTCTATGAAGCTTTGCAAATGTGTTTTTCTGGACACAAACACCACATATTTCACTATATTCTCAAGGGTAAGAAATTATTTCACTAGGATCTTATTCTAAAGTCCAGTTTTCTATCTCTATCAGAGGAAAAATTTAAGACCTAATCTTTTACTGAAAATAAGAGATCTGAATAGCACTATAGGTCACAGAAGAACTTCTGAACTTGGCAAAAAATAAAAACACTGATTGCTAAAAAGAGGGCAATGAGGAGGCAGGACGTCTTTCTTTCCATATTCTAGCTGAAGTTAGCTTAAATATATTTTCCCATGTACTCGGATACCATGGTGACAAGCATCATATAAATAGACAGAGGCAGCAAGGAGTAGGTCAGGGCTTGTATCTACAAAACAAACAGTAGGAAAGACCTATCAGGCAGAATTAAGCCCCTAACCAAACAATTGACTGTTCCCTATTCATAAGACCAAGCTTGGAAATTTGGAAGGAAACCTCTGGCTACCTTCCCCATAACAAAGACTACTCTAATCAAAAAGCATAGAAATGAAATTCACCAATGAAGTGCAGTAATACTAAACATTCACATTCCAAAAGACAAAAGGCATCTAGACCCTAATCAATTGCTTCCTAGACACCAGGGGCTTTTCTGTGTGTCCAATTTAACAGCACTCAACTTACCAAACTTACTTCTAAATAAGTCAGTTAAAAGATACAGGACATGTGTGAACAAGCATCTATCTACACAGATAGGCATATTTGCCTGATGAGTTTCACACACCTCCCTCAAATCTGTAATTCTAGAAGGCAATGAAAGAGTGAAAATGCAGGCATACCAACATATGAGAGGTAGTACCAGCCAAGGAGTAGGTGGATCTACCATCACCACATTCATATTCACTGACTGCAATATTATACATTATGGGCTCTGATGCATCAGATACAGTGTAGTATTTTGCAGCTTTCCTTAACACCTGCTGCTTTGAATCTCACTGTACACTCCATGTACAAACACATGGAGCCAGAGTTTCAGAAGGGCCCATCCAATCTATATAGAAAATGAACTAACCTCACTTGGCAGAGAACAGTAATACAACTGCTATGATTAGCAGAAAGCACGAAACACCTTTTTGCAACCCATCTCAGGTCAGCCCTAATATAGCACATAATTACAAAAAAATATGATGGGAGGTACTCAAAGATATAAAGTCAACTGATCAACATAAGCTAAAGAATGACTTCCTATCTCACAATTTCCTAGCCCAAATGGGCAAATGCTAAGAGCCAGAAAAGAAAAATACAACAGACATTTTAAATCTCTTTACAAAATAATTGCCTCTTTAAACAAAAAATGGTGGAAGAAGGTATTCTCAGGTATTCAATATATAAAATATGTATGACAATAACAGCACAAAGGACAGGAGGGACAGTGTATATGATAAAGGGGTCAATTCATTAAAGGTCAGGATATATAAGGCGGAAATAGGAGAGTGATGGGATGTACCTGGCCCCAAGGAGACAGACCAGAGTAAACTTAGAGGGCAATGTGGAAGAGGCGAAGGAAGAGAACAGAAAGGAAGAAGACAGATGAGGAGAATGAGAAAAAAGCCAGAAAGACCCCAGGGGACAGAAACAGGATGGATAGGATGGTAAAGAAAGAAAATATAAAACCAGATGAGAATAAAAAATAGGCAGTAATAACTATTACCACCAACTCTTTAGTACTACAAAGTGTGACTTCATCCCAACTATAGGCATAAACCATTCATACTTTAACAATAGCTCCATAAAAAGAGGAGGGAGCATGCTAACAGCCAGATGAAGCTATATAACATGGAAGACAGGTGGGCTCAGAAGAACATTTAGAAAGAGACATCAGACACACAGGGAGTGACAGAGTTAAAAGAGACACATATAGAAGGACCCTCTTGATTTGGACTTGCATCAGAGACTTGGAGGGGTGTGGAGGAAACACATCATCGAGGCACTTGAAAGAGACATGTGGGGAGGTCCTCCCTGGTGGCACAAGGGGGTCAGCCCCTCAAGCACTGTCAGGCTATTGGCAGCCACTGCAGCTTGAGTTAGATCCCCAGCCAGGGAACTGACCCACATGACACAGCAGATCTCGCCTATCTCACCAGCTGCTCCCTTTATTATTTCAGTACCTCTGCCTATTTAGCTCCTCACTCTCTCTCTCACTCACTCACTCTCTCTTTTTACCTCCTGCACCACTTGCCTACACCCCAGTTCTTGTAAACATAAATAAAAATAAATCTTTTTTAAAAAGAGAGGGGCCCTCCCTGGTGGTGCAGCAGGATAAAGCACAGCACTGAGAAGCTAAAGCCACTTCAGCATGAGTTCAGTCCCCGCCCCGGAGGTGACCACATGGTGCGACAGACCTCTCCTGTCTCACCCGCTGCTCCCCTCACAGTGTACTTCATCGGTCAGCCTGTTCTGCTCCCCACTCTGTCTCTAGTAAATCCTCTCACCACCCCACATCTCTGGCCTGTACCCCAGTTCTGTATGCATAAATAAATAAAAATCTCTTAAAAATTTTAAAAAGAGAGAGAAACAAAGATATGGAGAGGTTGACAATGCCAACCATTATCCTGATTTGTACTTTAGTTTTGCTACTTTGGTGTTTCTCCACTGGTCCCAGACAACTGGCCTTTTGGCCCTCTTCCATGGTTCCCTGGCAGAAAGTACCTTAGACTTATGGCAAGCTTTTGGGCTTCAAAGGCCTTACTTCTGGCCAACCCATTTGGTGGGGGATTTACCCCCAAGAGGATGGGTAGTTTTAGGTGTTTTACAAGGAAACTATTATCTTTTTTTTCCTCTCTACACACATTAATTCTATCAAAGCTCTTTTACACTAAGTATACTTTGTTTTTGTACAAACAGGTAGTTTGAACCCCTTTAAAGCATGCAAGTTTGGGGATCCAAATATACCCCTTCTGCCCACTAGCAGTTCTTATAGGTATTACAATTGTACCAGTATCTATAGACTAGCATTACTTTTGTTTTTCCCCTTTAATCTTAAGCTTTTAGAGTGTATAAATTATAACAACTATCCATAAACAAAGAAAACTAATCTTGTATATTAAAAAATAATCATTCCTACCTAAGAAACTCTACTAACTTGAGTCATTTCAATCTCTTTTATCTTTAGTTCTGACATTCCCTCAATCTTAAACTCACCCAATCTTCTCTCCTAAAATACCAAAATGTCATTATTGCCATTTAGTGTTATTCTCCTACTTGCCAAAGGCAGTAACTGCAAAGAACTCGCTAATCCATTAATTAAAGATCTCTACTTCCCATTATGGAGGACTAAATTTAGAAAGCCAAATTGGGTTGGGAGGAAACCATGTGTCACAACAAGCGAGATGAATTCCATGGAAGGGGGCTGGGTTACTGGCCTGTTTCTCATAAAGCCTCTGACACTAACACACCCTCTCCCTTCAGAGAACATAGAGAAGCTCTCCCATGGGTGGGGCAACTATTCATCACTAAAATCTTCTGGAAAAGACTTTATTGTACCATCAGGTCACAAAAGCTCCAGGACCTATCAGCAAGTGAATGCCTTAGGGAACATGTCTCCTCTGCTTTCCTGAAACCTCCAATTAGTTGCACAAAAGAAAGGGGTGGCAAGCCAGCATTAATTGTACCCTTAGAGAAGAGCCACTTTCCGCCTGCAGGGGTGGCAGTGACTTTACTGGGCTACCAAATGGATAGAAAGACAAAAGTAAACACTGTAATTTGCTGTTTTTGTATCTGGCACAGGGGGAGTGGTAAAATCGACACTGTCTGTAAACAGTAATAATGCCAGATGTAACACAAAGAACAGGATTCCCCCATCTCTCCACCCCCTTCCCACCCCCTCTCCCTATGACATTCCTCTAGAGATTACTCATCTTAAGGAAATACACAGAAGCTTCCTTATAGTCCATATGCTGCTACCAAATGGAACCTAGGGAGATCCAAGTTTGTACTGACTCCTCCTACATCACTTTTACTCAAAGAAAGAATCACTGGGAACTTCAGAAATATTCAACTGTTTCTATCAGCTGAAAAAAAAAAAAGGAAAAGAAACAAGAAGAAAGTAGGAAATAGATTATGTGACATGCACAGGTCTGGATGAGAAGACTGAAAGACAACAGTATAAATGAAAATAAAAGCATCTTAAACTAAAGGTGTTTTTTTTATTTGTTTTTAATTCATCTTGTGTCTAGATCTAGAGTCTCATAAAAAGTATAGGAAAAGCGGATAAATTCAAAAGAGACAATTACCTGACCAGAGTTCCCGCCAGGTGTAATGTAGGCGTATTCTACACTTCTTCTGATAGCAAAGAAGCTTATGTACGACCTGAATGCAGCGTCTGTAATAGAGTAAAACCAGAGTAAGCCTAAGAAAATGTGCAATTCATCACAGACACCCTTTCCTTGAAGAAGTTTTGGAAAGTCACTCAAGTGGCTAAATATGAATCTGTCCACGTGCAAAATGACAGGAACTTCAACCTGCAGCTGGTGGATACATACATAACTCAACTCTTTCCCCTTTTCTCCCCCTCCAATGTGTGTACTGACTGTTCTTCATATCACTAGAAAAAGGGAGCTGTAACTACATATAGTCAATTAGGCTCCACTGATAACATTCCCTTGAAAATCTTTCCTTAGAGAAAAGATGCACCAGTAGAGCAGAATAAAGACTACTCCACTCAAGTTGCAAATGTCAGATGTAAAAACAGAAAATTAAAAACCTTAAGTCTTTTGACTTACTTAAATTTGTTTTTAACTTAAATCAAAATTTTAGGGCTCTCCCTGGTGTCCCAAGGGGTTAAAGCACAGCACTATGAAGCTTCCATAGCCACTGCAGCATGAGTCCCACTCCTGACCAGGGAGCAGACCCACATGGCGTATGTTTCAGTTTATCTGCCTGTTCTGCTCCCCACTCTGTCTCTGGTGAATACTCTCACATACACACCATCACCTCTGATGAACTATATCCCAGTTCTTGTATGCATAAATAAATCTTTTTTAAAAATTTAATAAAATTTAATTTGTAATTAAATTAACTTCAACTATTTGCAAAAAAAACTTAACTTAGAAATTCTGTTGTTCAGTTACACTAACCCCCTATCACATCCTTGATAGCCTCACATAGCCAGTGGCTACCAAATTGGACCGTGCCAATATATAGAACTATTTTATCAGAAAAATTCTGTTGGACAGTACTACTCGAGATAACTGAAATATTCAGCATTATTTACATCCCAACAATATCTGTTATTGAGAGTACTTCCAAATAAGCAGTTAGTATGTTGAGGTTGAGATAAAAATATTTCTGAACATAAACCTCACAAAAACTGTTTTCACCTCTAAGTGGGAGAAGGTTTGGAAAGCTAAAAAAACACAAATTAAAGTACACAACAAAATACCAATGAAATTTACTTTCTAAAAATAAAAATCTTGTTTAAAAGAAAAGTTTAGTGATTAAAATTAAAAGTCAAATAACACAAGAAAGTACACTGACACTATGACACCAGAGGGTCACTATGCTTAATGTATAAAAGTTCATACACATTGATAAGGAAAACTAGCAATAGCTCTAATAAAAAGGAATAGCAAAGGAAACAGTCATATCCCCCCCAAAAAAGGAAATATGGAAAATTAACATTTTTCTCCAATGTTCAGCTTCACTTAAATAAGGCACATTAAAACAAGATTGTTTTTGAAAATCAAATTAATATAGATTTTAATACTGACAAAAGTGCAGCAAAACAGCCATTCACACATTATCAGAGAAAGTAAAGTGGTATGGAGCCCTTTTACGTAATTTGAAAATCTCTACTCAGAGTCTTAATAGACCTCAGCCTTCCCCGCTGGTGCATCCCTGGTGCCATTCTTCCTTCCCCAAGGCCTGGCTAAGGCCTCACCACACTTTGGCAGTAGAAAGGCTCAGTGCCAAGGCTGCTGGTGATAACGTTCTAATAGGCCTCCAGTCCATTTTTCAGAAGGGTATGACAGACCATGCACCCCCATCAGGTGTGTAACCTTCATAAACAAAAATGGCAGCTTTGTCAACATGAGGATTTACCCACGTGGGCTGGTGTTGCTGGGCCTTCACAGCCACAAGGTAAAGAACTTGAAAGTCTTCTGAACACAAAAGAATTGAGTGAACATTACTGGGCAGGTGAGGTGATTACCACCCATAGTTAAAGACCACAGACAGTGGCGGAATGACATACGATGAAGATTCATCTTATCAGAATGTTAAAATTCTACACTTGATGCAATTTGGCAATATTCTCATCCTTAGTGAGGATGTTTATTTGGCAGAGAGTGATTTGGTATATATCCAGACTTTCATGGCCAGAGGCAAAGAAGATTATAATGGCAACGATGTTCTGATTCTCAAGAGGCTTACTTTATAAAAAAGGCAAACTGAAAACAAAGATGGTCACTATGGTAGCAACTGACCAAACAGTGATGGATGGATGTAACAAATACACTTGGAAAATATATGGCAATGTCTTAGACAATCTGAAAGGGACTGTGATCAGGTTCTATCGTGAGACTGTGATGAGGTTCTATCATACTGAAGAGGCACTCCCAGGAAAAGGGGAGTCTGACCACATGATGAAGGATTTCAATGCTGTTCCAACCTCCAAATCTTTGTAAGATTCCACACGGAAATTTCTCAGACTGTTTCTTTAACCTCTCAATGAAACTACTGTAACAGGAATGGAAAATGTTCTACACAAGGGAACTGTGTCAATTTGACTGAAGCCGGGTTGTTTTATAAAGAAATACTCGGGCTGTGGAATTCTCAAAGGACACCTCTTCATAACTGGAACTGTGGGTATTGTGCACTATTGGAAGAAAGCTACTAAGATCAATATCCTCTAACCATGTGTGTGCAAACAGCCTTCCCGACCCTCATATACTCTTTAATTTGAAAGAGAAAATGGAAAATGTATAATTGATAATATGGGGTGTTTTTTTTTTTTTGAAAGTCTACTGATGAATGACTAGAGAGCCCAGTGAAAGACGCTAAATGCACTAGTAAATAAATTGTGATTTCTGTTACTTTTTTTATGTGTGGGCCTTTTTTGTATGTTTTGGTAAACTTTTGACTTGGTTGTTTGGAGGAATGAACATCATTGTTTCATTGTGGAAGAAGTTCTTGATGCTGTTTCTTTCCCAGAAAAAACTGACTTACATATTAAAATTTGGTGCTTGTTAGAAAGTGCTTAAGGGTCCTCCCTGGTGACATTAAGGGGTTAAAGCACAGCACTATGAAGCTACCCAACAGCCACTGCAGCAAGAGTTAAATCCCTGGCCAGTGAGGTGGCCTATGTGGTGCAAAAGACCTCTTCTGTCTCGCTGCTCCCCTCAGCAGTGTATTTCAGTAGAGCTGACTATTCTGCTCCCAACTCTGTCTCTGTTAAATCCTCTCATCCCTCCCGCCTCACCCACAAATACACCCCTCTAGTCTGAAATGCAGAGTTCTTGTATGCATAAAAAAAATCTTTAATCAAGAAAAACTTTAAAAATGAGTAACAATACTTTAATTAAAATTACAAAACAGAAGGAAAAATAGTCTCAATGTTTATATCCTTTGACCCATTAACGTCAGGATGCAAAAAACTATTTTATAAAACCATAGTATGGTGATGGCACATCGGTGAAGTGATGGCAGGAAGTCCATGGGGATTACAATCAAGATGAAAAAATGCACAAAATGAAGAATGAGGTAGAAAAATAAATAAAAATTTTAAAAATTTATACAAAATCATACAAACTTACTTTTTTGGGAAAGATTTATTTATTTATGCACACAAGAACTGGGGTGAGGTGCAGGGGGTGAGAGATTCACCAGAGTGGGGAACAGAACAAAGGGATCTACTAAAATACACTGCTGAGGGGAGAAGTGGGCAAGACAGGAGAGGTCTGCTGCGCCATGTGGGTTAGTTCCCTGGCCAGTGATCACACTTGTGGTACAGTGGCTGTGGATAGTTTCATAATGCTATGCTTTAATCCCTTGTGCCACAAGGGAGGCCCCATAAACTTACTTATAATAAAAGAAATTTAGAAACAACTATGAAAAGAATATGCAATGCTGAGAAAACAGCAAAACAATCACTACATGTATGTTATCGACTACTGTCCCTCCAAAATTCATATGTTGAGGCCCTAACCCCCAGTGTGATTGTATTTGGTCTGTAAGAAGATAATTAAAATTAAATGAGATCAAAAGGATGGGGCACTGATCCTTTAAAACTAGCTTCCTTTTAAAAGAGAGGAAGAGATAACAAGAGGGCCCCAACAAGGCACAAAAGGCTTTATAAGTACACAGGGGGAAGGTGGCTCTCTGAAAGTCAAGGAGAGAAGCTTCTGGAGAAAACAAACCTACTGGTACCTCGATCTAAGACTTTTAGCTTTCAGGATCATGAGAAAACAAATTTCTGTTGCTTAAGCCACATAATCTGGCATCTTCTTATTGCAGCCCAAGCAGACCCCATGAAGCTCTTAAAAAGTACATTCATGAAGAATTTTTCACAAGACAAAAAGATATTTATGCAATAGTGGTAAGTGGAAAAAACAGCAGGCAAAATTATATACTATAAAATATATGAAAATGGTCATAAATACATTAAAATGCATAGAAAACATTTCATTTTGATGTTAACAATGGTTGCCATTTTGGGATGCTAAGATATATTTTGTTTTGTTTTTTTCCTATTCTCTCCAAATTTCCTAAACTATATTTTAACAGGTAAGAAAAACACCATGAAATAAATTAATTTTTAAAATTTTAATATTCTCTAGATATGGACGTGAAGGAACTCTTTGGAGAACAGAAATTTTTGTATCTTCACTGGACTAGTGGTTACAAGGATATATATATTCATTTAGCAAGATTCATCTAACTGCTCATCCCTTTGAATCAGGGTCTAGAAACAATGGGCAGATTATAAGAGAATAATATGGAAGGAACTAGTACATTAATCTGTTAACTGGGGAGCTGAAATACTCAAGGGTGTTATACTGTCATTTCTTAAATCAAGTTAATGGCTTCTCCATTTTTGTCAAAGGAGGCAAAGTACATGCATAAACAAAATCTTTGGTTGTGGTTAAGGAAGCAGAGGAATTGGAGCCCTCACAAATTGCTGATGAAAATGTAAATGAGGGCCTTCCCTGGTGGTGCAGTGGGTTAAAGCGCAGCACTGAGAAGCAAACAGAGTGGGTATTGGAACAGGTGTAGCTACTGAAATACACTGCTGGGGGGAGCAATGAGAGGTCTGCTGTGCCATGTAGGCTAGCTCCCTGGCCAGGGATCTAACTCATGCTGCTGTGGCTGGTGACAGCTTGATAG